TGGGTGCGACCGGGCACGGTACTAGGCGCTGCTGGGCGCGGGCTGTGCGGCTGGCACGGGCCCTGGCACGACTGGTGCCACTAGGTGCGGCTGGGCACGACCGAGAGTCACTGGGTGTGCTGGCGTGCTGCTGGGCACGGTCGAGCACGAGGGACGCGGGAACTGGCGCGTACCCGGGTTGACTGGGCACTGGGCGTGCGGCTGGCACGACCCGAGTGCGACTGGCGCGAGAACGGACGTGGCCAGACACTACTCGCGCGGCTCGGGCGCGGCTAGGGCTGTCAGGGTGCTACCGGGCGACCCTGGGCACGCGGGCATGCTGCTGGGCACGTCCCGGGCTAACTGACTACTCGGGCGTGCTGCTGGGCACGTCCCGAGGCCTCTGGACCTGACTCGGGGTCACTACAGCACGGCACTGGACACTCGGGTGCGCTGCTGGCACGACCCGAGGTCGACTCCGCGTGGTACGAGCGACTGGCTCGGGATCACGCGTGCATGACACTGGGACAGCGCTGCCGGGCGCTGTCGGAGGTGCTCTGGCGCGACTGGCGCTGAGACCTCGCGGGCTGGCACGGACAGGCGCGGCTGGGCGCTGTCACGTGCACTGGGGACTGCGGTGCCTCGCGAGCGCTAGGCGCGGGCACGGACAGGGGCACTGCCTGGCCCCTGCGACGCGGCACGGGCACGGCACGCGCGACTGGCGCGGCTGGTGACCCTAGCCGGTCCTTTGCCAAACTTCCGACAACTTTGCCGGGGACTACTGAACCAAATCAACCTAATATGACATAAAATGCTCAAAAATGCCAAAAGTCACTGAGGGACCTCGGTTGGATTTGGTGGTGGGCTTATAGGGCCGATTAGGCACGAGGCCACCCTAGGGCACAAAAATGAACATGCTCAACATGAAAATTGACCTAGGGCCGAATGATATACATCAAAAATCATGGCTAATGAGGCTAGAACATTGGTCAATACATGCATGCACATATACTTAGGTTCGGGGGTGAAAATGGCTCGATTTCACTTAACAAATTGACCGAACAAATGAACTCAAAGCATGAAACTGTTTTAACCATGTCATACTCATGATTTTTGAGGATTTTTAAGATACTAATCTCGGCCATATCATGCATGTACCATAACTTACGAAATTAGGGCTTAAATCTTCAAAAATCCAAATCTCCATATTCTTCTCGTGCATGGCATCATTTTTGTACATGATAAATCTTATTTTATCATGAATAAGCTAGGAAAAATGAAAGTCACGAGCTAACCTTGCTCGAGCTCGCGAATGGTGCTAATGGCCTTTGCTCGGGCTCGCAAATGGCCTAGGAGACTAGCCTCGACTTAGGGGCTTGAATGGCTGAGGAGGATAGCTTCAAGAGACTTAGAAAAATCCAAACTAAGCTTGGATAATGATAAGCCTCGAGATAACTAGGCTGGAACAAGCTGGACACGAGCACTCCTCTTCCCCGGGGCACACGCGCGCGCGGCTAGGCTTGCCTTGGCTTGCTCTCGGTTTTTCTCTTGTTTTCCCTCAATGTGCTAAGTGTTATGCTCGAAAATTATGAGTATCCAAGAGCTCTAACACTCAGCTGAAGGTGGCCTTATAAGGGAAATGCATGGGCGGAGAAAACAATGCTCAAAGTGGAGACACACACACATCACATGTGCATGGGGACATGGTTTGGGGCTGTTTGCACGAACTTGGAGGGTTTGCAGGGGCATCTTGACTGACCAAGGCATTAAAATATGATGGAGAGCAGGTCTGGTCGGTCCCAAGGTGGAGGAGGAGGTAGTGGGGGACAATGCCTTACACACTTGAATAAAATATTCCACAAGCACATGCTCCACTTTGGCTTAATCATAGGCTGACTTCCTTAACACTTTCTTAGGGACATCTTAGCCCTAAATGACCCTCATTAAGTCCTTAATACACGCAGCATTGGGTCATGGAAGGAAGTGGGCCGGAATTTCAAGAATTGGGCTCCAAATGATGGGCTGTCGCTGCTGGCGCTGGGCTGGGCGCGCTGGGCGCGAGCTGGGCTGCACACGGCCCTGGGCTGGGCGCTGGGTTGCGCGAACGGGCCTGTGCACGCGGACTGGGCGCGGGACAAACCTTGGACCGAGAAAAATGACTTTCTAAGGCATAAATGACATGGCCCATGATCCTATCTTGATGCATAATACTTAGAAAAATTCCAAAGGTGTTTGGCCATGACTTGGGCCACCATACTTGACTCGCGCGAGGCTAGGGTGCGGGTACTAGGGCGCGACTCATGGCCCGACTTGGAATGCACTTGAACCGAGGCTAACCCTTGGCTAGGGCTGAAAAATGGCCACACTTAGGTGCCACCAAACCTAGGAAAATCCCCTCAATACTTGGTCATGACTTGGTGCGAACTCGGCACGGCTTTGGCCCGAACTCGCGAACCCTAGGCGCGAGTGATCTCGGGGCCACGCACGAACTAGGTGCGGTATACTAGACCGAGGGAATAACATCCAAGGCTTGACAAATATAATATCATACATAGAAATATTCTAAGTAAGGCTATGAGCATGGCTAGGGCTCGAACAAGACTCGAGACAACTAGGGCTCGAGAATTGGCTAGGCGCGAACTAGGCGCGATACTCGCGACCGAACAACTCGGTTCCGGACACGGCTAAACTTGGACGATTTATCGAAACAAACTCGGTTTTGATTATTCGACAACTGAAATAACTAATTCCGATGAATAAAATCCATTACTAAAATAAATGGACCGTAATTAATAACTGAGATTGAATAGCTGATAACTGGGCTCGGAACTCAAGACGAGCAGTATTAATAAAAAGAAATAGTTCAACTGGGAACTAAAAACTGTCATTTTTATTAATACAGAACTGGGCTATTACATCCTATATATAATAATATTACCCAAAGCGGGAGGAATATTAATCCAGCGAACTGAACCTCACCCATGTGAATCAAAGTAATGTATATTATATATATCTACATGTTTAATATCTTACGGGTTAAGAGAACGCAGTAATTAACCGAGGGGCCTAGTTCATTTACGACGATCAGTATAAAATGAACTTCTCCTCTCTGGGGTCCTGTTCAATACATAAATGTACTAGTGCAACTAATCAGTCAAGACAAACTGTACATTTTACACTACAACCGTTCGGATGGGGTGTCATGTCCATCTAGGTTGTGAACAACTATTCTTGTTCGCAAGTGACTGATAGAGTGATCTTCAGTTCGCCCGATGACGACCCACCCTATCTAAGTGCAGAACACCAGAACGTAGAACTTGTTTAATCTAACATGATTCTCATTCATAAAGGGTAAATGTGTAATAACATGCAAAGCCAAGCTTTCAGTATATAACACTAACAATCTCCCACTTATACTTAAAGCTTTCGCTTTTACAGTATAGTCCTATCAATCCGTTATTCTAAAAGACCTATGTCGATCTTATTGCCATGCTCATGACTCCCATTCCTTCCACGTGTTTGACGAAGACCTTCTCCGGCAAACTCTTCATGAAAGGATCAGCTAGGTTGTCCTCTGACGCAATCTTGGAAACATCAACGTCTCCTCTACCAACGATATCCCGAATCTGATGGTATTTACGCTCTATGTGTTTGCTTGCCCTATGGGCTCGAGGTTCTTTTGAGTTCGCTACTGCTCCACTGTTATCACTAGAAACGGTGATACCACGTGGCAAACTAGGTATAACCTCTAAGCCCACTAAGAAGTTCCTGAGCCAAATTGCCTTTTTCGCTGCCTCTGAGGCTGCTATGTACTCGGTTTCCATGGTGGAGTCTGCCACGCATTTCTGCTTAGCACTCCTCTAGGAAATGGCTCCACTTCCCAAGGTAAACACATAACCTGAGGTTGACTTACTTTCATCCCTATCTGACTGGAAATCAGAATCACTGTAACCCAGAGGTAATAAGCTGCCTGCACGGTAAACTAACATGTACTCCTTAGTCCTTCTCAGGTACTTGAGTATATGCTTCACCGTAAACCAATGTTCCCGTCCTGGATTACTTTGATATCTAGCCGGATTACTTTGATATCTAGCTACCATGCCAACGGTGTAGCTAATATCTGGCCTAGTGCACAACATTGCATACATGAAACTTCCTACTGCCGAAGCATAAGGAACTATCTTCATCTCCTCTATCTCCTTAGACATCTTAGGAGACATCTCCTTAGATAGAGGTATTCCCTGTCTGAAAGGTAACATACCTTTCTTGGAATCCTGCATGCTGAATCTGGCCAAGACAGTATCTATGTATGAAAACTGGGATAAGTACAACATTCTCTTCTTACGGTCTCTAATGAGCCTAATACCAAGAATGTGTCCTTCTTCACCTAAGTCCTTCATATCAAACTGCTTAGACAACCACACCTTTACGTCTGACAACTCCTTCTTACTGTTTCCAATAAGCAGTATGTCATCTACGTAAAGCACAAGAAACACCACCATGCTCCCACTGATTTTCTTGTAAACACAATGCTCATCCGGACATTGAGTGAACCCGTATGACTGGATCACCTCATCAAAACGGATGTTCCATGATCTCGAAGCTTGCTTCAGTCCATAAATAGACCGATTAAGCTTGCACACTAGATGCTCACGACCTTCAGCAATGAATCCCTCTGGTTGCTGCATATAGATGTCTTCCTGCAGGTTCCCATTAAGGAAAGTTGTCTTGACATCCACCTGCCAGACCTCATAGTCCATATGAGCGACTACAGCCAAGAGAATCTGAATGGACTTAAGCATAGCTACTGGCGAAAAGGTCTCATCATAATCAATACCTTCGATCTGGGTATAACCTTTCGCAACAAGCCTAGCTTTAAAGGTTTGTACCTTCCCATCCGATCCTCTCTTTCTCTTATAGATCCACTTACATCCAATGGGTCGTACCCCATCGGGTGGTTCTACAAGATCCCAGATCTGATTGGAGTCCATTGATCCCATTTCAGCTTTCATTGCAACATTCTATGAATCTGCATCTTTATCTTGGAGTGGCTCATCGTAAGTTCTTGGGTCCAATTCTAGGCCTACTGGAACTGAGTCCGATGACTCTCCAAGACCTATCCATCGGTCGGGTAAATGAGAAATCCTCCCACTGTGACGAGGCACTGTCTGCACTGGTACACTCTCAGTGTGCCGTGTTGCAGTATTATGTGATGTATCTACTTGCGCACTCAGTGGGGAACCATCGATTTCACCCCTTAACTCCTCTAAGACTAGTCTACTAGCGGGCTTATGATTCATAATATAGTCTTCTTCCAAGAATCTAACGTTCGTCGAAACGATCACCTTCTAATCCTCAGGACTATAAAATAAACCACCTTTCGTTCCCTTTGGGATAGCCTACGAAAACTCGTGCTTCCGAACGTTTCTCCAACTTGCCAGGTTCCTGCACTAACACGTGTGCAGGACTACCCCAAACTCAAAACTGTGAGAAACTGGGCTTGCGACCTTTCCACATCTCATAAGGGGTAGTGTCAACTGACTTCGATGGAACCATGTTTAGAATATACGATGTTGTTTCTAATGCCAAACCCCAGAACGAATCTGGTAACCTCGAATAACTCATCATAGACCTAACCATCTCCATAAGAGTCCTATTTCTTCACTCTACAATCCCGTTTTGCTAGGGCGTGCTGGGTGCAGTCAGTTGGGATTCAATCCCAGCTTCCGATAAGTATGTCCTGAAGTCTCTAAAGAGGTAGCTTCCGATAAGTATGTCCTGAAGTCTCCAAAAAGGTATTCGCCACCTCGATCAGAACGAAGTGACTTGATACATTTACCATGAAGCTTCTCCACAACTGCCCGATACTTCTTGAATTTCTCAAAGCATTCGGACTTGCGGTGCAACAGATAAACGTACCCAAATCTCGAGTAATCATCTATGAAAGACATAAAGTACTCGAAACCTCCTCTAGCCTGGATCGACATAAGACCACACAAATCAGAATGAATCAATCCTAGCACTTCTTGGCTCCTATACCCCTTTGCCGTTAACGGCCTCTTGGCCATCTTACCTTCCAGACAGGATTCGCAAGTTGGATAGTGCTCTTCCAATGGACCGAGATGTCCACTGGCCACTAACTTTTGAATCCTCCTAAGGTTGATGTGCCCAAGTCTAAGGTGCTACAGATATGCTTGATTCATCTGCGAAGACTCCTTTCTCTTTTTAGATGTAGTTATGACATTATTCAATTCATTATGTTGCACTGTGGGAGAGTTTGGTTTGAGAACATACAAATTTCCAACTAATGAACCACAACATATGAAACGATTTCCAAAACGAATAATAACCATGTCATCAAACGAAACTGAAAAACCATCCATAACGAGTTTAGAAACTGAAACAAGGTTCTTTCTAAAGCTAGGAACATAAAGACAATTTCTCAAAACCAAACTACTACTATCAAACGATAAAGTAACGTCTCTCACTGCAACAGCCGCCACTTTCCTGGAACCCCTGCAAAGAATTGCTGACATGATCAGTGGCTCCAGTATCTACACACCAGGTTCTGGTAGATACAACCGCTAAACATGTTTCTACGACATTAACGAGAGAGTTACCTTTCTTCAGGAGAGGGTAATCGACCTTCCAGTGTTCTGACTTGTTGCACTTGTGGCATCTTCATTTCGGTTTTTTTGCCACAGTCTGAGGGCCAGTCGTTGGTAAACCGGAGCATCATGTGCTTTCGCCTTTCCTGCAGACTTCTTTCTCTTCCTGCCCTTGTGAGGCCTAGAAGGTTCAGCCTGCTCGGCGACTAGCACCTGAGGTGCCTAAGTGAATAAGGCCTCTTCCGACTGTAGCTCTACAAGCAGTTCTGGAAGAGCCATATGCATCTTGTGCACGTTGTAGTTCAACCGGAACTGATCAAAACTCTTCGGCAGAGATTGGAGCATAATATCAACCTGGGTTTCCCGATCAATATAACCTTTCATAACCTCAAGCTCATTGTGCTGCGCCATAATCCTGAGGGCGTGCTCCCTTACGGATGTGCCCTTGGCCATGCGCGTACTCGTCAGAACACTCAAAGCCTCTTGCCTAGCAGCCCTAGACTGATGTCCAAACAGATCCCTGAGATTGAGAAGTATATCTGCTGCAGTGTCCTTAGACTGATGCTGATGTTGAAGAACATTCGACATAGAAGTCAGAATGTAACACTTCGCCATCTCATCAGCCTTCTTCCACCGAGCATACTCCTCTTTCTCCTGCTCAGGAGCATCAGCCGCCGGCACCGCCGGGCAAGCATCAGTGATAGCAAACTTATAACCCTCAGCAGTCAACACTATGTCTAAGTTCCTCTTCCAATCAATATAATTAGGACCAGCAAGCTGATTTTCTTTTAGAATGACTGACAACGGATTGAACGACATGATGAATATCCTGAGATTCATGCACATTAATTTTACAGATTAAACACTTTTGAATTTAACTGTTAATATTGATATCCCCAAAACAACATTAACTTAAATCCACCGACATCTATTACACCTTGTGAGAATGCATGCTACGAGGGTCGCCCTACAAACTCGCATTTTGTAAGAGAAGGGCTTTTCTAAGGCCAATTAATTTCCATAAGTCAAAACCGAATTCATGACGAACGAAATTAATAGTCGGTCTCCATCTGGCCATGCAATAGAATTCAGGGACCCCGAGGGGGGTTAATAAATTTAATCGCATTCAATGTGAATTCCATTTCTCGGTCCTAAGGTCGTCAAATTTGATTATACGTCATCCGAAGGGAAGCCCGTACGCTCTCATAAGATTCCCTCTAACCATCTACTCTTAGAAATTTGTCCTTGTAATTTACTACAATTAAATTTTAGCAATGTCACCCGAGGGGGAGCCCATTACCGCAGCCTAATTGATTTACCGACAAATTAGAAATGGAGGCCTTAGGAATTTTACAATTAACTTTAATTTAAAATCCCTTCTCAAACTTAGTATAATTTAATGAGGATTTTTAACTATTTATACAATTCCAAATCAATCTATGTTAATGCAATAATAAATTAACATGCATATTAATTCATGCAATTCTAAATTAATCTATGTCAATGCAATAATTAATTAACATATTCAATACTTTATGCAATTCTAAATTAATCCATGCCAGTGCAGCAATTAATTACATGCATAATTTATTGACACAATTCCAAATTAATCCTATGCATATAACATGCATAATTAATCTTGCAATACTAAATTAATCCCATGCAAGAACATAATTAATTAACATGCACAAATAATAATTTAATGGCATAATAAATTTAATTAAATAAATAAATAAATCCACTATTATGGCCATTAAATATTGAGTCTCCTTAAATAAGGAAACTGTGACAGTTCTTTCCTTGTTCAACCGGAACTCCTTTAAGCAGTAGAATCCTGGTTGATCTTGTACTGCTTGAACATCAAGGCAAAAACAACAGCTACCAGCCGCCACCTGCCGCCGCCACCAGCCACCGCCGGTTCGCTGGCCGCCGCCACCGGTTCGCTGGAAAAAACGCCAATTTTTTTATTTTATTTTTATATATTCTTCGAAGCTCGTTGATCTTCTTGTGATCGAGACGGTCGTCTGGGTATACTGTACGTCCTAATCGTACTTCCGGTTAGTTCTGTAGGTCAAAATATATTTCGTCTCGGTTTACCTACAGATTTCTGCTGTATTACTCAATACACCCTTCTTCTACTTGTACCAATGGAGCAACAAGAAGAAGATAAAGATCGAATGAGATCTAGAGAGAGAGAGAGGCGTGGGGCGTGTCTCATTAGAATGAGATTGGGATTCTCTTCTCATGAGCTTAGTGATGTATATATAGAGCTACAGTAGGGACTCTTTGGAGATTAGGAAAAGGGCTCCTTAATTAATTAGACTAACTGTGGGCCAAGCCCACTCCTTCAATTAATTAAATGCTATTAATGGGCCACCAACATTATATTATTGCACTTCCTTTTCCTAGCCCAAATTACATTTGAGACTCCAATAATAATTACTCGATTTACCTCCCCACGTTTAAGATATAATGTCTATTAATTAATTCAATTACTGACAATCAAGAATTAATTAATTTATTATTATTTCACTGAAGCAAGCGCTCGTTCATCAAATTCTTATTATGCCGGAACTTAATCCACCTGCAGGGTTTAGCATAACAATCCTTCATGAACTCACTCCGGGGACATCATCAAACTAACGCACACGGTGACCGTAAATATCCTAACAGCACATCCTACTAATATTAATCCAGCGAACTGAACCTCACCCATTTGAATCAAAGTAATATATATCATATATATATCTGCCAGTTTAATATCTTACGGGTTAAGAGAACGCAGTAATTAACCGAGGCCTAGTTCATTTACGACGATCAGTATAAAATGAACTTCTCCTCTCTGGGATCCTGTTCAATACATAAATTTACTAGTGCAACTAATCAGTGAAGACAATTCGGATGGGGTGTTCATGTCCATCTAGGTTGTGAACAACTATTCTTGTTCGCAAGCGACTGATAAAGTGATCTTCGGTTCGCCCGATGACGACCCACCCTATCTAAGTGCAGAACAACAGAACGTAGAACTTGTTTAATCTAACATGATTCTCATTCATAAAGGGTAAATGTGTAATAAGATGAAAAGTCAAGCTTTCAATATATAACACTAACACTCATATCATCCTGGCACTAGCTTCCACAAGAGGAAGCCTGATTCCCACCGGGACAACCGAAAGGGAAAACGTGGAGGTCCCTAATGATCCGGCGGGCGCCCCGCCCCGTAGGGCCAGAACCCGAGGTGCCACAAATGTGGCCGCTTCCACCCAGGAGAGTGTTGGTACCAGCAGAGGGTCTGCTACAACTGCCAGAAATCCTGACACTTCTTCAGTGAGTTCCCCGAATCCAGGAGACAGCCACCTTACCAACATCAGCAGCAGCTCCCACCACCACCCCTTCAGTAGCAGCCTAGACATCCCCCACAGCAGAACCAACAGAGGACTAGGAGCCAGGCCCGCGTCTATACCAATTCCCATGATGAGGCCGCCTACAACGCAGGTACCATGTGTGGAATGCTTTCGATATCCAATGTGCCTGTCTTTGATTTATGTGATACTAGAGCGACCCATTCCTTTATTTCTTCTTGATGCTTGGAAGCTTTATCTGTTACCAATGTGTGCAAAGTTTATCCTCTCGAGGTTAGCCTAGCCTTGGGAGAAATCATTATCTCTGATTCCTTGATTCGAAATCTCAATGTTATCATCGGTGGACGAGTTCTGGAGGTCCACGCTTATATTATTGAAATGCGCAACTTCGACGTGATCTTGGGCATGGACTGGCTCACTCGCTATCGAGCCGACATCCAGTGCTAGGAGCGTGAAGTCACCCTTTTCCCGAACCTGATCAGCCTGTTGTATTCTTTAGGGTGCAGTCGAGGACCGTGCCTCGAGTCATCTCGTCTATCCAAGCTAGAAAGAGCCTTTCCAAGGGTAGCTGTCAAGGCTATCTCGTATCCATGATTTCCGACGATGTTGAGGAGCAAACTCCCGAGAGAGTCTCTATCGTCTGTGTTTGTCCCATTTTTGTTGCATTTTTTGTTAT